CACGGCCTCAGTATTCCACCACCACGGCCTCAGTATTCCACCACCAGGGCCTCAGTATTCCGCCACGAGACCCTCAGTATTCCACCACGAGACCCTTAGTATTCCACCACCACGGCCTCAGTATTCCACCACTTATCCAACAGATCCAGGACCTGTGGCCTATTTACTAAGAGTCCACTCCAATGTAAGGATAGTTAGGAGACCAGCTGGCTTGAGGATCAGTTTTTGTTTTTGTTTTTAGAATATTGTATGCTTTTGAGTTTGAAAAAAGACTGTGTGTTATATGACAAACCAACAATGCCAGTAATCTTGAGTAGAATTATCCTTATCCTGTACCCACATATTGTAAACTATCGTAGATAATTCCTTATTATTAAAAGTTTGCATGCCAAAGCTAACGATCAGTTTAAATAAAATTATCAGCATATTGCCATGCTCATTTGCATTCCGATAGGCTTTATAACCTAGAAAAGAGCTGAGTTACAATTATTACTCATTTATTTAACAAGCACTTATTAAGAGTTCAGAATATAAGTCACGAAGCTGGTCGGTGAGAGGAACAGAACGTAACCCTCCTTACCTGTGCTGAGGTGCATAATCCTGATGCGCCCACAGGAGCATGTTGCACAGAAAATGTCATCCTTTCATGTGTTAGAGCAGACAAATGATGGAGAGAAAGGTCTGACAGATTACCTGCTTGTGGCAGGTGGATGTTTGACCCCTGATTTCTTGAGCAACTACAGCTTGGACCCTGCCTAGATATCTATAGAAACAGCAGCATGTCAGGTCACCAGACCTGTGTCAGCAACTTCCTGTGTCCAACTGCTGGAGAAAGGGAAGTTATCTTATTCCTTTCCCTCTTACTCCTCAGTATCTCCATGATAGAGAAGGTGAGAGGGGAGTGTTCCCCGTGTGGAGGGATGGTCAGTTTTCTGGAGTTGAAAGGTGAACAGCATCTTACTCTAGAGAACAGCCCTAGACCATGAAGGGAGCTTCAGAGTAAGTTATGAATGACATAGGATACCTGGGCATAAGGGTAATGACACCAGCTAGCTGTGCACACACTCTCTGATGGACCATTCCTCATCCAAGTGAGGGTAACCAGCCAACCTGCTGAGGGAGAAAGGAAGCACCCATGGTCCTGGCCCTAGCAGCTCCATTTGCTTTGGGAAGCTTCCTCAGGCAAGTGCTGCCTTCCTGAGCCTTTGCTCCCACCTGGCCCATCAGCCCTTACCACCACTTAGTATGCACTGGTCCATGTGTCTTTATGGGTGGGCTTGGGATCCCCACACTGGGCTAAAACTACCTTTGATGGCTGGGTGCAGTGGCTCACACCTGCAAACCCATCATGTTGGGAAGCTGAAGCCAGTAGACCACTTGAGGTCAGGAGTTTAAGACCAGCCAGGCTAACGTGTTGAAACCCTGTCTCTACTAAAAATACAAAAATTAGCTGGATGTGTTGGTGTGTGCCTGTAATCCCACCTACTCTAGAAACTGAGGCATAAGAATTGCTTGAACCCGGGAGGCAGAAGTTGCAGCAAATTGAGATCGCACCACTGCACTCCAGCCTAGGTGACAGAGCAAGACTCTATCTCAAAAAAATAAAATCAGCTGGGCATGGTGGCTCACATCTGCAATCGAACACTTTGGAAAGCCAAGGCGGACAGATCACTTGAGGTCAGAAGTTTGAGACCAGCCTGGCCAACGTGGCGAAACCATGTCTCTACTAAAAATACAAAAAAAAAAAAATTAGCCAGGTGTGGTGGCAGGCACCTGTAAACCCAGCTACTCAGGAGGCTGAGGCAGGAGAATTACTTGAACCTAGGAGGCGAAGGTTGCAGTGAGCTGAGATCACCCCACTGCACTACAGCCTGGGCAACACAGCGAGGCTCTGTCTCAAAAAGAAATAAAACTACCTCTGACTTTTCAGCAAGTATGACTGTCCCACATTACCATGCAGACATTTGACCTCCAAAAATTGGTATCAAATTATTTCTCCAAGGACTACTGTGGTTTTTCTCTCCTAGTTTTTAATATGCACACAGGTCTATGATATGGGCCTTTAATCCCCAGTATTTCTTTTTTTGTTGTTCTTGTTTTGGTATGTTTTTTGTTTGTTTTTGTTTTTTGTTTTGAGACAGGGGCTCACTCCGTTACCCAGGCTGCAGTGCAGTGGCATGATCATGGTTCACTGTAGCCTTGACCTCCTGTGCTCAAATCAACCTCCCACCTCAGCTTCCCAAGTAGCTGGGACCACAGGCATGTGCCACCATGCCCTGCTAATTTTTGTGGAGACAGCATCTTACTTGTTGCCCAGGCTTATCTTATACTCCTGAGCTCAAGTGATCCTCTCATCTCTACCTCCCAAAGTGCTGGGATTACAGGTGTGAGCCACCAAGCTGGACTTAATTCCCAAAATTTCTGATGAGTCTACTCCTTATTTTGGGATTGCCTTAGGCCCAACCACTAACAGAGGCCTGTCCCACACTGTGTGCATCCCCTAGATTTGGAGATGGCTATATTGTCACAATGAAGATCAAATCCCTGAGGGACGACCTGCTTCCTGACCTGAACCCTGTGGAGCAGTTCTTCCAGGGGAACTTCCCAGGCAGCGTGCAGAGGGAGAGGCACTACAACATGCTCCAGTTCCAGGTCTCCTCCTCCTCCCTGGCGAGGATCTTCCAGCTCCTCCTCTCCCACAAGGACAGCCTGCTCATTGAGGAGTACTCGGTCACACAGACCACACTGGACCAGGCAAGTTGGCCCCGGGGCACTGAGAGCTGAGCAAAGACGAGTCCAGAACACCCAATGTGGGTTGGAATTGACATAAGAAGGAGGCATAACATTCTTGACTTTTAAAAACTCTTGTCCTCTGTTTATTAGGGTAAACCTTGGTATATCAGAAATTGTTTTCCAACAATATTTTTTAGCTATCAGGAAACTTCGTTTTTTTTGTTTTTTTTTTGTTTTTTTTTTATCATCCTTCCCTATTAGGCTATGGTGTGTTATTTCATTCTTGCTGGTTTGTGGTGGTGGTTTTTCTTTCAGAATCAGCTTTATTGATGTGTAATTAACATATGACGAAACACAGCTCTTGGGAGGCCAAGGCAGGAGGATCACTTGAACCCTGGAGTTTAAGATGAGCCCATGCAACAAAGTGAGACCTCGTCTCCACCAAAAAAAAAAAAAAAAAAAAAAAAATCAGAAAATTAGTCAGGCATGGTGGTGCATGCCTGTGGTCCCAGCTACCTGGGAGGTTGAGGCTGGAAGATTGCTGGAGCCCAGAAGGTCAAGGCTAAAATGAGCTGTGTTCATACCACTGCACTCTGGTCTGGGCGACAGAGCAAATCCCTGTCTCAAAAAAAGCAAAACAAAACAAAAACACATATTTTAAATGTACAGTTGAGTGAGTTTTGATAAACATGTGTTCTGTGTGTGGTTTTAAAAAATGTAATCACATTTTTTTATTGTGGTAAAATATAGTAACATAAAATTGACAATGTCAACCATGTTTCAGTGCACAGTGCAGTGGTATTAAGTACATTTACATTGCCAGGCGCAATGGCTCACGCCTGTAATCCCAGCACTTTGGGAGGCTGAGGTGGGTGGATCATGAGGTCAGGAGTTTGAGACCAGCCTGGCCAACACAGCGAAACCCCGTCTCTATGAAAAATAAAAAAATTAGCCAGGCATGGTGGTGCCTACCTGTAGTCCCAGCTGCTTGGGAGGCTGAGGCAGAAGAATGGCTTGAACCCGGGAGGTGGAGGTTGTGGTGAGCTGAGATGGCGCCACTGCACTCCAGCCTGGGCAACAGAGTGAGACTCTGCCTAAAAAAAAAAAAAAAAATCCATTTACATTGTTGTGCAACCGTTACCACTGTCCCCAACAGAAGTCTTTCATCTTGCTTCACTGAAAATCTGTGCCCACTAAACACTAACTCCCTACCTACTCCCCACCTTGCCCTTGGTAACTGTTCTTTTACTTTCTGCCTCTAAGGCTCTGACTACTACAGATACCTCATATAAGTGGTATCATACAGTGTTTGTCCTTTTGTGTCTGGCTTATTACATGAGGACTTAGCATAATGTCCTCAAGGTTCATCTGCATTATATCATGTGCCAGAATTTCCTTTCTTTTACAGGCTGAATAATATTCCTTTGTATATATGTGCTACATTTTCTTCATTCATCTATTCATTCATTGATGGACATTTGGGTTGTTTCTGGGTTTTGTTTTTTAATATCTATGTTTGTTTTAAAATAAAACAGTTCAGGAAACAGGCAAATCTCCATTTAACCTCCTGAGGAGCTGACTTACCTCTACCTTTTCATCAGCATTCAGCAGAGGGAGACATGAGCAGGAGTCGGGGCCACCTGCACACTCAATGAGGAGCTAAAAAGGGACCAATTACCTTCTTTTTTTAGTTAGAGGATTAGGATGCTGCTAGCTGAGAATCTGCCTTGCCTTGATTATGCCGATGTCTGGTGCCTAAGCAGAAACTCCTGTGGCATAGCTTGGGAGTCTAGTCTAAGAAGCTAGTTCTGACCAGGATACTGATGGCCACACTTCCATGGGTGGGCCAGCCTCCCCAGGACACAAGCCATACCGGCATGGCTGTATGTGAACTGTGGAAAATAGCAAGGTGGGTGGGTGGGTGTAGGGTGCTGTTTTCCTGGAAACATCTACCTAATCTTGCTCTTCTCCTACCTCCAGGTGTTTGTGAACTTTGCTAAACAGCAGACTGAAATTCATGACCTCCCTTTGCACCCTCGAGCTGCCGGAGCCAGCCGACAAGCCCAGGTAACTTTGCTGCTTCTGCAGTCCACAGCTTGAGGCATCTCCTAGGCTCAGAGCCCAGCTGGTTCATTGGGCTTGAGTTGCTCCAAGGCTCAGATATGCCTCCTGCAAAGCCTCACCCATACCATGGTCCCCACCAAGTCCCCACCACATCCTTGCTAAGTCCCTCCTACTGTCCCTGTTCTGTGCCGAAGAACTTTTCATTCAGTAGCTGTAGGGATTCCTGCTGTAATCAGGAAACCATTTGGATGGTGTGGGAGAGCATTTTTGAAAAGAACTTTCCCATGTTTTTGCTTACAGCAAAAATCCTTGGATTTTGGGAATAAGGAGCAGAGAGGGTAATAGAGATTAATGTTTTGGCTACTTGACATCTATGTCTGGACACATCTTTGAGCTTCAAAGGAAGGGACTTAACTGGCGCATCATTTCGGTGGCAGACACATTAGGTTAGATGGAGGAATAGCGTCTGTTGTAGGAAGGGGGCTCTTTGTTCTTTATAAAAATATCAAGAACATGGAGAAAGAAGGAATAGAGCTATGTCTCCTGGCCTGTGATAACTCTTGGAATAGGTGCTTATAGGTTCCTGCCCTGGCACAGTGCCCCATGTAAGGAGCACACCACCCAAGAAGGAGAGTGATAAAGTACTGGAGGAGGTGCAGCATCCCAATGCCTCCTCCAGGGTGCAGCAAGGCATTGGGATGCTGCACCTGGCTTAAGCCTGGCGTGGTAGAGGGATGAATTAGCCACTCTCTCCTGACTTACCTGGAGGGAAATCAAATCAAATCAATAATCAAGGATATGCAAAACGTTATTTCCCATAAAGTTTTTATTCTGCCCAGTTTCTTGATTGCAAGAAAAACCAAATACAGCTAATGACTGAAACACCGCTGTCCAAAGCAGTGCCTGTGATGCATTTTTCCCTTCCCCTTGGCCAGCAGAGACCTAATAGCTACTTGGCAAAATTGACTTTGTCTTCACACCCCTTACCTGCCAGAGGGCCCAGAAATGCCTAAGTAAAGGCTCCTGACTTGGGGGAAGGTTGCTTTTACTGAGATTTTCCAGCCACTGTTTCCCATTTATGGATCTGGTGATTGCCGTTGACACAAGCTGAAAATTATTTGAAAACCTCTAGCAGCTGTGAATCCTTTTTATAACACAGAATATATAACTGGGTAGCAAAATCATTTCCCAGAATTACCAGTGGTCTCCCCACCCCTGGCTAACATGTTCCCTCTTAAAGGGCTAATCCCACATCACCACTGGGCCAGGCAGAACATCAGGGGTGTTAATGTTCTATGATCTACGGCAGTTAATTCCAAACTTTTACCTCTTATTGGATGTGATCATTTTTCTATTGTGTTTGTTACATTTTTGTTCACAAATATTGGAAAACCTGCAACACATTTATTGGCATATTTTTATGATAAATTTTCATTCAAAATCTAATTCTGACTTTATGATACACTGTCTTTACAAAGTTTTGCAAAAATTCTTCCGTATAGCGTTGTATATATCTGTCATGAAATAAATAGTAATTATATTATTGTTTACATTACACCACTTCAAAATAATTTCCTTTAAAGTATCTTTCAAACAAGAAAAGGGTAATTTCTCTTAAGAAGCTCTAGAGATGGGCCGGGCGCGGTGGCTCACGCCTGTAATCCCAGCACTTTGGGAGGCCGAGGCGGGTGGATCACGAGGTCAAGAGATCAAGACCATCCTGGTCAACACGGTGAAACCCTGTCTCTACTAAAAACTACAAAAAATCAGCTGGGCATGGTGGCGCATGCCTGTAATCCCAGCTACTCAGGAGGCTGAGGCAGGAGAATTGCCTGAACCCAGGAGGCGGAGGTTGCGGTGAGCCGAGATCGTGCCATTGCACTCCAGCCTGGGCAACAAGAGCGAAACTCCATCTCAAAAAAAAAAAAAAGAAGCTCTAGAGATAATTTACAACTTGCTCCTAAGCAAATGTGAGAGCTTCAGGAAGTTCATCAGGCTGTTGGCATTACGACTCCATGTTTTGAGCCACAACCACACAGATATTTATCTAGAAATCAGTGGGTTTGCTTATCAACAATGCTTTACTCTCCAAAGGACTCCATCCTGGAAAGCATCTCCTGGGATAAGGTCTTATGCAATCTTATACTCTGCTATGAAAACTGGTGAGGGTCAAGGTTTTAATAGACTGAGTAGGTGACAGATGATCAGACAACTTAGAAACATCCTAAATGGGTTAATAATTGTGTGACCATGTGCGTTCCCAAATTAGGAACAGCTCAGATCAATTTCTAATCCTTATTCTTATACACCATTCCAGTTCCCCTGTATAACTTGTATCTTTGTGTGAGTTTCAGAAGTTTCTGATGTACCCTCAGCCTTGATGGGGATCCTTGCACCATCTCAAATCCTAAGTACTGGGTTAGTTATCCTCTTAAGAGGATGTGTAATTTTTAAACCAGGTAATGGGATAAACCACACTTCATCTAGACTGGGCAGGCCTATGTCCATTCGCCTCCTTGCCCACACTACCCCAACCCTACAGCGGGCATTGGTTCAGGAATTCAACCCGCACTTTATAACTGAAGACAGTGTCTCTCCAGTCGAAAAGGTCATCTTGGTGTACACTTCTCGAGGAGTATGGATACCTTTATTAATCAAAACCCAAGCTTCGATCTGGAGCACACTATCCTGAACTCCAGCTCTGATCTCTCCCATCCCCCAGTCACATTTTCATGCTTCCCAGAGCCACCCCTACAGGAAGTGGTCAAGGGAATTCTGTAACCTCAGGGCTGACCTAAATTGGGACTTCTTGGCTTTTAAGGTTATGGTAACTTTCTTAAGCTGAAAACAATGCAAAAGACCCCATAAGAGCCCTTGGAAACAGCACCGTGGGTGTGGCTTCCCTCCAGGATGTAAGCATGTACACACGCGTCTCACATATGTGAGGCTTTGTAACAAATGCCTGCATCTTAGAACGAGGGAGACCTGAAAGATCATCTGACCATTTCATAAAGAAGGAGAGAAAGATGGCCCATAACCTGGGTGATCTGACAGAATCACAGTGCCCTCAGCTGAGTGCCCTTCAGAGATTGATTGACTGTTTAACTTCTGAAATCTAAAAGTAGTCACACCATCTTAGAAAACCAAGATGACGCAAACCCATGTGATCTCCTTCTACAGGACTGATCTTTCACACCACTCATTCCTGCAGCCGGAAAGGAACTCTGGGCAGCTGGAAGCACAGGAGCCTGTGCCCATATAGCCTTCCAAATAGACTGGCCAGCATAAATGACCCCACTGCAGCAGAAAACAAACACATGAGGATCTTGCAGCGAATTCAGAGGAGGTTCTTTCAGAAGGCAACCGAAACTGACTTGCTCACCTGGAACACCTGGTAGTGAAGCCAAACAAATGCAAAATCCTTTTTCTCTGGACCACAGAACTAGAAACCTCAGGCCATCCCATAGCAGCTTTGGCCTCCACGTTGCGCTCATTTCAAGCGGATCTGCTTTTCTGTGTGTTTGTCTGTGTGTCTTTGTGTGTCTGATTTTCATGAAAAAATAAAATGCAAATGCACTAATCACAAACTATCCTAATTCACAATCTCCCTGGTGTGTACCATCTTGTATCGTTTTAGACAGTCTTTAGGTGGCTGCATAGCTCCTTGTCAGTGCCATGCACTTCTGTGAGTGTTAGTCTCAGGACTGCTCTTTCTGGCAAGATTCTGCAACACTAGGGTGGAGGTGAATGGACTAGTCTCTGTTCCATGTCAAGTCTTCAAAGAGTTTGCAGAAAACACCCAACTGGTAATGCCTGTGAACATTATCCATTGTCAGCTGGGTATTACCAACTTTCAGTTTTATGTCTGTTTGCCCAGCTTATTTGAATGCTTGCCTCACAGGTGTAATTAGGACAGGAGACAAGGAGGCATGGATTGGCAAGAATTGGTCCTTGGTTGGATGTGAGACCCAACAGGACTTTGTAACCACCTGAAGAGGTCAGGGCCTCATTCACATGCTGCTGTGCCATTTCCACAATGCTTCTGAGCACATCTTCTGCAGTGATGTTAGAAGGGAATAAAGATGGCCGTCTAGTTCACATAAATGCTCACCAAGATTCAGAAAATAATCATTTTAAACCCAACCTTTAAAAGACTTGTGGATGAGGAGAACAAGTGTGTTTCCTTACCAGGGCAGTCTCCCCTCCATGACCTAGAGACGGGCTTCATCATAAAACACTTCCATTATACGGAGGATAGATTCCAGAGTCAGGGTGAGGGAAGAAGGAAAGAGGAGAGATGCTGAGGTCCAGGAACTGTTACTGAGAAGAGGACGAGGAAGGAAGTGAGTACAGAGTGCTAAAATTTTTATTTCAGCAAGAAGGGTCCTGTGCTAGTTTAGAGACAGACAGAGGGCAAGGGCTACACAACTTTTTTTTTTTTTTTTTGAGATGGAGTTGCACTCTTGTTGCCCATGCTGTAGTGCAATGGGGCGATCTTGGCTCACTGCAACCTCCACCTCCCAGGTTCAAGTGATTCTCCTGTCTCAGCCTCCTGAGTAGCTGGAATTACAGGTGTTCGCCACCACACCTGGCTAATTTCTTGTATTTTTAGTAGAGACGAGGTTTCTCCATGTTAGTCAGGCTGGTCTCGAACTCCTGACCTCAATTGATCTGCCTGTCTCGGCCTCCCAAAGTGCTGGGATTACAGGCGTAAACCTCCATGCCCAGCCATAGCTTTAAGTCCTGCACATCTCCAGCCTTGCCACATTGCACCTACTAGATGCAAGGCAAATAACTGGCCATAGAGACTATAAAACTACTTTGGTAGCCTCAAAGCTTCATCCGGTTTTGGCTTTTTGTTTTAACCTACCAATGACCAAAACTATAAGACCATTTTAGCTAGGGCTGGGATAGAGGCTGGGAAAGCCCAGTACACTGCTTGCATCACACTGCTGCACCCTGGCTGATTTCATAATTTAAATTAGCAACTACAATATCACAGGAAAGAAGACTACATTCTTTGGAGCTGTTAGGAAAAGAAAAGAAAAAAAGACTACCTAGGATAGCGGAGGTGGTTTAGCAGCCATTTTGTTTGGCTGTGAGGGTTTCAGAAAGGCATCATGGACTGGAAAAAGTCAGATGCAAGTAAAATCTGCACACCCCGTTAAGGGAAAATCTCAGTTTACCTTTTGTCTCACTACACCTGAGGCCTGTGTCTTTTCATCCTGTTTTTTCCAGCTCCTGGCGCACAGAAAATTTTATTCAATGAACACTCGCCAAACTGAAAACCCAGCAAAATGCGAAGACCCAGCAAGAAAAGTATACAGACAAGAAGTGGGTCCAAGAAAATGATGCCTCCAAAAAGGAGCAAAGGGCAAGTGGAGCAGGAGGATGCCGTGTTTTAAAAACAGCCACAAAGCAAGGAGGAGGCAGCAGAGCCATAGCTTGCTTGGATTTGAGGAATGCTGAACATGGGAAATGTATGAGGAAAAGGAGGAGGAAATGGAGAGAGTCCATTCAGAAAACATAGCCACTCAAGAGATGCTCCAGGCATATGATGTGCTGCCAGAATTTCTAAGCTTCCAGTTCTTCTTTGAGGAGCTCAAGATTTTGGAATAGCTGGGATCAAAAGAGAAATCTCTTTCACACTGAGTGAAGAGCCCACAGAGAGCCTCATTTGTGCCATTCTAGCTCTCCCAAAGAGAAGGGAAGAGAAAAGTGGGGCAGACAACCCATCAGCAATACTCTGGGCTTGAGGCAAAGGATCTTTGTGACAGCCAGGGCACCTTCACTGTGACCATTGAGGAGGAAATTCTGCACCAGCAGGTCTGCGGGGATTATGGAACAAAGGAGGAGGTTTTCCTCTAGAGATATAGATGCCTACCCTTGTGGGGTGGCTGTTTCAGGCACCAGAAGGACTCAGCCCAGAGGCCCCGGCCCCCTGGGGCTTGGTTTCCTCAATGCAGCATTTCAATGCCTCAGCAGGTCACCTGAACTTAACAGTTCATGACTCCTGTTGATTGGAGGGGAGGATTACTCCACGTTTTATCCAAGGTGATCATCAAGTTGGGGAAAGCATAAGTACTAGAATTTTCAGATTCATAAAACCATAGGCTTGTAGAGCTAGAAAATACCTCAATATTCACAAATTAAGCCTTTGTGGGTTTGTTTTGTTTGCACTGTTTTAATAGAAAAGGAAAGCACATCCCAGAAAAATCCAGTGGCTTGGCAGGCCATCCAGCCTTCCCTGTGCCCTACTGCTGTCCTCCTCAAGTGGCTTCATTCTCACAGGGCTAAGCATCCACAGGGACCAGGGGACATGCCCACTGGACCCAGAGCTCTGCAATTCCCTGTCCAAATGATAAAACCCACTTCTAGAGCCTGTGTGAGCTAAGTCAAGGATGGTCCTGGATCCTACAGGCTAGCATCCTCCCAGGGCACATGAGGCCACTTGGGAACATGGGAAGGAAAAAGAGGGGAGTAAGCCATGGGGCAGTGGCTCTTCACCACCACAGGCCAGTGTGAAACTCCAAGGAGGCCAAGAAGCTGACATTTGAACCCAGGTCACTATGAAGGTCATTATTTAGCAGTTGGTTAGCTTTGTTTGTAATTTAAAGTATTGAGACACAAATGATATGAGGACACTCTCCTCTGGGCCCTTCCTGCAGCTCACCATGACATGCACTCAGCTTCCTGAGCAGCTGCCTGATCCCCAGGCTCAGATGTACACGTCCCATGAATCAGGCTTTGCCCAGACCTAAGCCTTCTTCTTGGTTTTATACTTTAGTAAATTTCATAAGAGACCACAGATTATTGTAGCCAAATCTCCCAGTCTTGAGTCATGATGAGTTTCAGGGGGCACATTTCATCCACAAGACACTGCACAGCACCTGGTCAGACGGCATTCCAGGCACACAGCCTAGCCCTGGTGCAAGTCTTGTTTTCCACCAGAGATAGGCAGCCTCTTTGGTCTTGAACAAACTGACTACCATGTCCATCATTTTACGGCTGCCAGAGCAGCAAAGGACTAAGGGGGAAAGGAGAGGAGACAAGAAACAGCGCAGAAGAGGGTAAAAAAAGCATCCACTGCTCCATATTCTGGGGACAAGACACAGCCTCTGCTTTCATGGTGTTAACATTCTAATGCAGCAGTCAGCACATTTTTTTTCTATAAAGGGCTGGATAGTGACTATTTCAGACTTTGCAAGTCATGCAGCCTCTGGTTGCATCTACTCAACTTGGCTGTGGTTCTCAGAAGCAGCTATAGACAACATGTAAGGAATGGGCAAGGCTGGGTTTGGCCCACGGGCCATACTGTGCCCATCCCTGTTCTAGCAAGCAGACAGATTAATGTTAAGGGACATTAGAGACAGCTTCAGGTGCCTTTTAGGGAACCCCCCCCCCATTAACAATTGTTCTGTTTTCTGTTTTACAGTAGGAACTGCAAGTAATTCCAGTTTAGCTGGGATAGCAGATGTTGAAAGATAAGTCGAAGGTCAGAGAATGGGGGCAATTTTAAGCTCAGAAACTATAATTTTAGATCTTCATTGAACTAAATCAACAGCTGACAGCAGCAGCCTACAGGAAGGTGTAACAAGCCTGGATTTTTACCTGCTTCTGCCATCTGCCCCACCCATTTAATGCAACAAAATGTTTTATAGGTACAGCATCAAGTACTACCTAAACCAGCAGAAGCCTGAGGGCTCAGCTCCAAACATTCATGATCGTTCCCTCAGCTAAATGTCCGGGGAGCTCTACAGAAACAAAATAGCAAGGTCAGTATGTCAATTTCTTTTAAAATGTGGGCTCTTCGGCAAAAATGTCTGCGAAGAGCCAGGAAGTCCTAATTTATTTGCAGTCCCCACTCTGGAGAGGATTCCCTATTTTGGAGTGTTCAATGGTATTTATCACTACAAAAGTGAAAATGATGAGCTTTGAAAGCTGCAGGATGGTAAGCAATTATAAGGTAATGTTATGCTTTTTGTTATTTTAATTGTCCTCACTTTCTGAGATTCTGAACTGATTAATTTTCCTGTTTTGGTTGTAGGCATGACTCTTCTCCTGTCCTAGGAGCCTTAAAAAAAACCTAAGACTCCTCCTCTTCCACCTCCTTCACCCCGCTGCATTCTACCATTTGCCAAAATACAGCTTCCA